CACCAAATAATGATCTTTTTAAAAAGCATCATATGACCCCTTTAAATTTAAAATGTTTGAAAATGTTAGCATTTTTTAATCAAATGTTTTGTTATTTTTTTATTATTTATTCAAAACATATGTGATGCCTTTTTTATTTTTTACATTTTTAAATTTAAAATGTTTGAAAATGTTAATTTTTTTTATCAAATGTTAAAATGTTTTTATTTATTCCAAACATATCTGATGGCTTTTTTATTTTTTTAATTTGAAGTATTTGAAATGTTTAATTTAATTATTTATTTATTTTAAATTATTTATTTCAAAGATCTCAGATGCCTTTTTTTATTTTTTACATTTTAAAATTTTAAATATTTGAAATGTTAATATTTTTTATTTATTCCAAACATCACTGATGCCCGTTTTATTTATTTTTTACATTTAAAATGTTTGAAATTTTTACATTAAATTAAATTATTTATTTTTGATTATTCCAAAAATCTGATACTCTTTTTTTTTTTTTTTTTTTTTATATATATAAATGAAAAGGTTTGAATATTTTAATTTTAATTTTTTTATTAGTTAGTCCAAATATCTTTCATACCTTTTACATTTTTTTTAAAATTATGATTTTTTTAAAATTGTATTTATTTTTTAATGTAATTATTTAATTTAAAAATTATTTATTTTTACACTTTGTTCCTTTCTTCTTCCCTTAATTTTGAATCGAAAGGGCTGCATAAATAAAAAGTTATCAGCCTATGAGAAATGACTGTGGTATAATGTCTCTCTTAACAGGGCATGATCCACAGAGACCTGAAGCCTGTCAATATCTTCCTGGATTCTCAGGATCACGTGAAGATCGGAGACTTCGGCCTGGCGACGGATCATCCTGCTAATGTGGTACTGCATGTTTTATGCACACGAGAGCATTGCATGCATGTGTTGATAAATAACTGTATGTGTGCCGTAGATTGACGCATAGAAGCAGTTTTGATCCTTTATATGAGCACTGGACAAATGCATGCTCAGAAAATGCATTATTCATGAAACTAATGAGAATTATCTCTGATTGGCAGACTTAACTTGTCTGTTTCGTAACGCTGTTTGGTAATTTGGTTTAATATGCCGTGTTTCAGGCTGCAGGTAAACTAGAGGTGGAGGACAGCAACTCAGGGTTTGACCCAAAACCAGATCCAACAGGTGAAAACCCTGATCAATTACTCTGACCAGATGTTTTTCTCTCTCATGTTAGCAATAGTAAAGCATAGGCATGTCAAAATAAGAGTCCCAGTGTATTTCGGGCTTGTTTATAATTAAAAGTCCTGCATTATGCATAACGGTTTTTGTTTTTTATTCATTTATTCCCCCCCCCCAGTTGTTGTTGGTTTTTTGGTTACACAATAAATTAAAAAACCATTTTTATTTTTTTGCTGTGCTCATATTTGTTTGTTTATTAAACTTTATTTCACAGATAACATGACTGGTATGGTTGGTACGGCTCTTTATGTCGGTCCAGAGGTTCAAGGAAACACTAAAGCCACTTATAACCAGGTATTAAACAACCTTCGTCCAGGCTGCTGTGCTTTACTCACTTTCTGTGTATAATGATGGTGTTTGTGTGTTTCAGTGTTATTTTTGTATCATTTTCTGTTTTCATTTTAGTTCCTTACAATTTTAGTTGTGTATTTTTGTCATTTTTATTACTTTTTTTTTAACTAAAACCCATAAAAAATAAATTAAAAACTACATAGACATGTGTGACCCTGTAGCACAAAACCAGTCTTAAAAGGAACACTCCACTATTTTTTAAAATAGGCTCATTTTCCAACCCCCCTAGAGTTAAACAGTTGAGTTTTACCGTTTTCGAATCCATTCAGCCGATCTCCGGGTCTGGCGGTAGCACTTTTAGCTTAGCTTAGCATAGATCATTGAATCGGATTAGACCGTTAGCATCTCGCTCAAAAATGACCAAAGAGTTTCGATATTTTTCCTATTTAAAACTTGACTCTTCTGTAGTTACATTGTGTACTAAGACCGACGGAAAATTAAAGTTAAAAGTGCTACCGCCAGACCCGGAGATCGGCTGAATGGATTTGAAAACGGTGAAACTCAACTGTTTAACTCTAGGGGGGTTGGAAAATGAGCCTATTTTAAAAAATAGTGGAGTGTTCCTTTTAAGACTGGTTTTGTGCTACAGGGTCACACATGTCTATGTAGTTTTTAATTTATTTTTTATGGGTTTTAGTTTGAATTATTTTAGAACATCAAGTTTAAATGAAAGAGAGAAATGTTGCCTTGGCAGCTAGCTGAAATAGAATGTAATTTTTTTTATATGCTATTTTATTTTTTACATTTTATTTCAAGTAAGGAACATTTTTAAATGGTTTTAGTTAACCGTAATAACCCTGGTGTCTGTGTGTCTGTAGAAGGTGGATCTGTTCAGTCTGGGCATCATCTTGTTCGAGATGTCTTACAGACCCATGAGCACAGCATCTGAACGCATCTTTGTGCTCAGTCAGCTCAGGAAAGTGAGTCCCATCAAACACCAAAGCACACATCTGTTACAAACGCATTCATTCAGCAAAGCAGCATATTATACTGATTTCTGAAGATCATGTGACACTGAAGACTGGAGTAATGATGCTGAAAATACAGCTGCGCATCACAGAAATACATTACAGCTTAACACACATTCACACAGAAAATGGGTGTTTTAAATTGTAAAAATATTTCACTATTTTTACTGTATTTGTAATCCAGTAAATGCAGCCTCGGTGAGCAGAAGCGACTTCTTTCAAAAATGTTGATAACATTTAAATGATTCCATACTTTTGATTGGTAGTACATACGTTTTCCATGCAGTGCCGCTGTGATCTAAAAAAAAACAAACAAATGTTTTTTTTTGCAAATGTCGTCTTATCACTCGTTCCTAACGCATCTCTGTTTGTCCTGCAGGAGTCGATTAATTTCCCCGAAGACTTTAACGAGAACGAGAGTGAAATGCAGGTAAGTTTGAAACATCCATATATGAGACCCTGGACCACAAAACCACTCGTAATACATCATCTGAAAGCTGAATAAATAAGGATAGGCCTATATGTTAGGATGGGCAATATTTGAAAATCTGGAATCTGAGGGTGCAAAAAAATCTAAATATTGAGAAAATCATCTTTAAAGTTGTTCAAATGAAGTTCTTAGCAATGCATATTACTAATCAAA